TTTAACATGGAAGTTAAATTCAAATTTTTTATTACTTTTTTTCTAGTATACACAAATTTATTTAAAGGTTTTTCTGGACTTAATGAAAAAAAAATTTTTTCCAAACATCTTGTTTTTTTTTGATTGATTTTTCCTTAAACTGTTAGCCATTTTCAAAATTTTTTTTAATACTATAATAAATAGTATGTAAATGCTGTTGTAGATGCTATAAAAATTGCTGAAATTAGAGATGTACTTAATTTCCATATACAGCCAATGGATTGTGCCGATGATCGTAATTAATGTTATTATGGGTTGTGTTCTTTTTTTCTTTTTATAAGGGCTTCCATCACTTTTAAACACTTTTTGTATGGTACATGTCACATTCATGTTTTTGATGAGTATTTTACATACAGAGATTGGTACAATATCATACTAGTTTAAATGTATTTGTATTGAGCTTCAGTTAGAGAGATAAAGCATCAGTCATCTTGTCAGGCAGTTGTTTGTGGTGGTGGGGGTACAACATAATTATTTATGGATTTGTTTTCATCAGGAATTCAGTTCCACTGGGAATCTAAATTCATAAATAATCTTAGTCTGGCATTATTTGATTAAAGTTCATGTTAACAAAGAAAGCATGTTTTTTACACACACACACATATTATACATATAGTGTACATACATATATATATCATATATATATATATATATATATATATATATATATATATATATATATATATATATATATATATATATATATATATATATGTATATAAATAAAAAGAAAGAACAGCAAGATATATATAATCCATTTGTTCTTATAGATATTTTTTATTTTTACAAAATAGTGCTCAATATAAATTTACAATCATTAATATTATAAATTAATTGATTTAAAATATTTTTTTTTTTAAATTTGAATTCTAACCTGAAAAAAAAAAATGGAAGTTAAAAGCCAATGAATTTAATTTTATAAATTAAATCAAAGACTCAAAATTTTTTTTGAGGATAAAATGGAACTAATGTTTTGATTTAATCACAAAAATTAAAAATCTTTTTTTTCCATTTTTTGAAACATGGTTAGAATTTATATATATATAAAAAAACATATTTTAAATCAATTAATTTATAATATATATATATATATTGTATTTAGACATCAATGACGTTTTATTTATCTGTGTTTCATTAAAAAAATAGAAAAGACAAGGTAATTATGATTAATCTATTTTATTTCATTTTTTCTTGCCTTTGAACAAATTGTTTTTTTTTGGGACACAGTGTGTATCTTATGTAGAAATGTTCAAATGTCCTATTAAATTTTATTTTGTTTTTGTCTGTACTTTTAACCATTATCAATTGATGATTTTTATATTTTTCCATTTAAGGAAATTTGGACAGTTTTTACATGGTATTTCTGTGTTCAAAAAAGAAAAGACTTGTTTGAACACAAAAAAAAAATTAAATAAAATGCTTAATTGTTTACCTTTGTCTGTCATCTCTTTAATAAAAACACACACACACACACACACATATATATATATATATATATATATATATATATATATATATATATATATTATTATTTTAATCATATATATATATATATATATATATATATATATATATGTTTCTGGAATTTATTACTTAACTTTTCTTGTTTGCATGCAAAGAGAGAATATATATCTGGATAAAACCATCAAGCCTGTATTGATTGAGTGATTGATTTGTTTTTTATGGATTATCAACCTTTTGCAGGTTATTTTAAAACCAGAAAATATTTTTAGATTAAGAGAATTTTGGGGAGCTAATAATGCTTTACTGATACAAGTCTTACAAATTAACCCATAGCTGGGGGAGAAGAGGTAGTTTCATACCATTCCTAAGAGTAATTGTTCATATGTGAATATAATGAACTTGACTGGAATTGAAACACTGGTCACCAATTTCCAGTTCCAAGCCATTATTCATTACATCAAGCACACATCTTGTATTACCAAGCAGTCACCGATCTAGGTACTGACCAAGTTTGATGTTGCTTAATTTTGATAATAGTATAAGAATCAGTGTTTCAATGTGATATGGCTGTAAGCCATCAAGGCCTTAGTTTTGTTTATTAATAACTCTACAGTATGCAAAGTGTATATATAGGCAAAAGTACAATGGGGTTATCTTAGAGTTTTGGAAGTAATAAAAATTCACCATGGAACACCAAGAAAGCACAGTGGGGATTATTGTGTAGAAAAAGCATTACAGACCTTTACTGCAGGGCATTGTGAAAAGAGAGAGAGAGAGAGAGATCATTTTCCGCCTTTACCAATGAACATTGTATGACAGTTAAAACATAGCAATGTACATCTATACTGGCACTTAGCTTGCAAAAGCCTTTTCAAAATGAAGTAGTCACCTGAAAGAACAGAGGATCTCCCAGGGGAATTTCAAATGTCCGTACTCATTTTTTTTTGTATGTTTATTTTAGAGTTTCATATAAGTGCACTCTGTTTGGTTGTAATGTCTACAGAATAAAATCTCTTATGGCTTTTTAGCTCGTAAGGGTTCACTTAAGCAAAGTTTAGCAGACAGTCAAGCAAGGTGATGCCGAGATGCATCAGTATTCCTGAACAGAGGTACATTTCTGTCTATACATGTATATGCATATATATGTATGTGTTTTGTATGTATATATAGAGGTTGGTTTATCTATATGCATTGTACACACACACATGTATATGTATATATATATATATATATATATATATATATATATATATATGAAAGCATCTACGTGTGGATAGATAAGTAGATTGATAGATGCATAGAAATATGTCTGTGCACATGTCTATATTGTTTATCACTAAAAATGTTATTTTTAGTGGATACTCATATTTGAGTAGACGTTCTGTCTCTTCATTAAACAGTATATTTATTTTCATCCATTACTTCACTAGAATATCTATATCGATCTATATATATAAAAAATAAAATAAAAATTCTAGCTATTAATACTAGTGAATAATATGCATAAAAATATATAATTTAATATATATCAAATTCAATAGAATTTCTGCCAATAAAGTGCTCATTATAGAATAGAGTGATGATTATTATTAAAGTAGAAGTAAAAACATTTAATACTTATGGAAGATCAACTCAGAGTTTTGTAATTTTTTAATCACTCATTGAAACTCTTGATTATGTGTCTCTAAAACAGATTTTCTGTGATCAATAAAATCATTCTTTTTGAGAGTGCTGCTGAGTTATGGAAAAAATAATGAAAATCTGAGTTGATCTGCAATAAGTATTGAATGTTTTATTTCTAATTTAATAATTATAATAATAATAATATAATAATAATAATTATATATATATATATATATATATATATATATATATATATATATATATATTATTTTATGATATTAAAACAAAAATGTTAAAAATCGCTACATAATTGCAATTGTATTTGAATGCATATCAATGCATCTCCTCAAGCAATTGTAAATTAGCCGTGAATGAATGATTGATTTAATTAAGAAAGGCAAAATACCTCCTGTTTTTTTTGAGAAAAAAAGGCTTGAGGGTTTTACTGTAATCAACCAATTGAATATAACCTACACTAAATTCAAACTAAGCAAAAAAGGAAAATTTTTTTTGAAATGGGTCATAATAGGAAGTTGTCAGCAAACAGTTCCCATACATTAAATTAAAGACTGATACAGATGGTTACATTATTTCATAAAGTATATACAAGTCAGACAATCACCTTTCACAAGAAATAAAAGTGGAGATAATAGGAAGGTATTTTAACCTAATGCTGACGAGTTATATGCTTTGTGAGTTTCCTACATAAAATTTTTTGTAGTTAATAAATAAGTAGCCTCTTTAAGAAACTAGTAAATAATTTAAATGTATAGAGTTATTTGGCAAATTAATATGCAACTGTTAAGTAAAGAGCATCCATATAAGATATTAATAATACCAACCAATCAATGCAAGATGTTAAAAATACTAACCAAATATCAGTACAGTCATATAAGATGTTAATAATACTAATAGGAGATTAATACAGAACTATACTGAATCTAAATTAATCTTACAAATAGAAAAATAAGCTATATAAGGTGCATTGCAGTTCATCTACTAAAAAATATAAGAAAAAGCATTATCAAATTCCAAAGTTTAACTAAATTGAAAGGTAAAAGGGCGACTATGTCACCTAATTCACTGTTAATTCACAGATTTAAACTAATGATTTAATAAGGATTTTTATCAGAAAATCTGATAATTTACAATTTTTCATGTAAACACAGAAAATAGGGTTCATATAAAGATCTACATGTTCTAGCTACTTTTAAAATTTTCCATTTCACCTTAGGTGTTTTATTAATGTCTTTTAAAGTCCAAAAAATATTTAGAAAGTGATGTATTATTTCTATAAGTATTATTGGTAAAGAACAAGATATGTTGATACCAGCTTGTCTTAAAAGAATTCTTAGTACTACTAATATAGAATTTTTCAACAGTCCGATTCTCTATTGTAGAATAGTACTTTGAGAAGTAAGAGATTGTAAATTGTTTGTGGGATGTCAGGTTTTATTATACAAACAAACTTCAGGCAACATAATTCTTTCTTATTTATAAATAAATCCAAATGATATAGGTCATAGAAACATGTTTGATAAATACAACATCCCATATACCTGAATAAATTATTATTTCACCTGTTAATATTAGCACTTTGACATTGTACAACCTTCCCCAGTCCTCTATCCATTGATTTTAATAACTGTACAACTATATTGATTTTAACATTACTTGTAGCAGTTTTTATTGCTTCCCAGATATCTTCTTTGTTTGAATGTTGTTTCTCTTTCACACATGTCATTTCAATGTTGAACTGCAATATTTTGGGTGGCTGGAGCTCATTCTATTAATTTGGTATCTTTGAAACAATTTTTTGTCAAAGTGGGCAATAATCAGCTTTGTACTGAACACTTCTTGATTAGCCTATTGTTGGCCATATCGTTGAAACACCGGTTCCCTTATGATCATCGAAGTTAAGCAGCATCAAGCCTGGCTGGTACCTAGATAGATGGTCGTTTGAGAATGCCAGGTGCTGTAAGCTTAAATGTGCAGGTGGTGTAATGGATAATAGCTTGGAATTGTTAATCGGAGATTTGAGTTCCAATTTCAGTTGGTTTACTTATATTCACTTATATACTTTTAGGAGAGCTATGAATCCACCTCTTCTTTCCCAAGCTATGGGTTAATTAGTAGGATTAATTTAGATCATTGAATCATTATTATCTAAAAAAAAAAATTGAAATAAAAATTCTTACAATCTAAGAAGATATTTCTGGCATTAAATAACATGCAAAGGGTTGATAAACCATAGAAAATAAATGAACAAATGAATAAAAACTTCTTTTTCAAGAAATTACAATAATTCTTTGCATCTCTCTTGATGGCATCATCAGCTTCAAAGGGACTTCTAATTTTACTACCTACAATACTGGCCCCAGACATTACTTCATCTTCTTTGCTGTTGTCTTTTAATTAATATACAGCAATTTAATGCTAACAAAAAATAGCTTACCTTCAACAATGGTAACTTAGTCCATCTCAAAATATTTCCTTTGGAACCTCAGCAGTTTCTCTTCTAAGTAAAGGAGAGTGTCTGTTAAGGTTTGTGCAGGACAGTCCTCTCTGATTGGTTATTAAGTTATATCAAAGCCAGTTCTTAGGATATTCAGAATGTCTGAATAATGTATTCAGACATTCTGAAGAGACGCCATATAAGGAAGGAGTTAACTAAGAACTAAATAGAAAAACAGAAAGTCTGACCAAGGAGAAATATTACTATTCAGAAAGGATGTTGTTTATCAGTGAAGCATGGACAAGACAAATATATGATTTTCTTCTCTTTTGATTTTATTTTATGTAGCATTTTGGTTAGGAAACATATTTGTTAATTGTTAGTCACTGGTTTTATAAACTGACATTATCAAGAGGACACTGCATGTGGAATGCTAAGATGAAAGAAATACTATCCAAAAATTAACACTTCCTCTAAAAAAGGCAAACACTTTAAAGCAGAAAGGTGTTGCAGAAGAGGATAGTGGAAAGACAATCAAAGATTTAGAAAAAGTTTTTAAAAATTCATATGCCAAAAATAAATATGATTTCAAAATTTTAAATATTATTTTGGATTACTTGCAATTGTAAGCATGAATCTCAGTATAAATAGTTATAAATAATTATCGACCAATTTTATCACTGTGATATTTTAGCATTATATCAAGTATTAAGATTATAGGGTTTGCAAATTGGAGGAGAGAGTTATCAATGATAAAGTTCTGTCTTTGAATATGCAGTTATCTTCCTTTAACCCTCTCTCTGTTTTTATTTTTAAATGTACTTTATATCATATAAAATTTAGTGAGGTGTAAGCAGATTTTAATTTTGAAAATGCGGCCTAAAGAAAAATAGTTTGGGAACCACTGCCTTAAAGGAATTGTAACTATATTTAAAAGCAAGAGAAATAGGAAGAAAGAAAGACTAGTCAAAAATGAATAATAATTGACAATGCATTGGTAATTCAGACAAAGAATTTGTGACTACATGGAAAAGCGAATGAGATAAAATGAAAGACAAGTTAAAAATTAATAATAATTGACAATGCTTCATCTAAAAAAATTCATAAACTCAAAGCAATTGTAACTACATATAAAAGTAAGTGAAATGATCAAAGAAAGATGAGTCAAAAATTAATAACTGACAATGCTTCATATGGCCAAAGACACATTCCAAAAGCTAGGCAGAGTATTGCAAGACAGGAGGATTTCTTTGGTAAAAAAGAAAAGAATATTGAATATTGTCCTTCTTTACAACAGTGAATGTTGGATGATTTCCTCAAAGATGAAGAAGAGACTTGAGGTTACAGAGATGTGGTTCAACAGAAGGATGCTAAGGGTATCATGGACCGAGCACGTAAGTTATGATGAGGTCTTAGAGAGGTTGCAAACAAAGAGGAGGCTTATTATTAAAATCAGGAAGAGGCAGCTGAAGTTTCTGGGATACATAATGAGGAAAGAGGGCCTGGAGACTCTGATACTCATGGTCAAATAGAGGGAAAGAGAGACAAGGGAAAACAATGCGTGATATACCTAACAGGCTTAAGCAAGTGGATGAGAGAATGTGGTCTGGGGGAGGTAGCAGAAGGAAGGAACTTGTTGAGAGCTGTAAGGGATAGAACGATGTGGAGAGCCATGATCAACTACATCCTGAAACGACATGGCACATAAAAAGAAAGAAAGAAGAAATTCAGATAAAGGAATTGTGACTATATATAAAAGCAAGAGAAATAAAATGAAAGAAAAACAAGTCAAAAATTAATAATAGTTGACAAAGCCTCCTTTAAGGAATTTAGTTAACTTACAATTGTTATTTATTAATACCAGGTGTAGAACAATAAGAATGAAATGTAAGAAAAACTAGTAAAAAGCTAATAATAACTGACTTTAAATGAATGCTTTATGTAAGAAATTCATAAGCCTAAAAATAATTTGACAACATGTAAAACTAAGAGAAAAAGATGAAAGAAAGACTTGTCAAAAATTAATAATAATTTATAATGATTCATCTAAAAGATTCATAAACTTGAAGAAATTATAACTATATATAAAAGCAAGATAAATAAAATGAAAGACAAATAAAAAAATTAATAATAATTGACAATGCTTCATATAAAAATTTCAGATGACTATGTTTGCTGATGTTACTGAGTATAGTGCTCTCTTTTACTCACCACAGTGAACCCTCTCTGCTTCCCATTAGAATGCCTGAGAGCACCTCTCTGCACCTGCTTGGTCTCACACTGTTCACTGACCTGAGATGGAACAAATACATTGAATCAATAGCTTCATCTACTGCAAGGAAATTTGGTTCTCTGTGTCGCACCAGAAAGTTTTTATCATCCAAGTCCACCCTTCAAATCTATAAATCAACCATTCGCCCTTGCATGGAATACTGCTGCCATATATGTTCTGGAGCCTCTGCTGTTCATCTAAGGTCCTCGACAAAATCAAGAGATGTATATGAAGTGTGAATGGCCCTGTTCTGGCATCTTGTCTACAATCGCTCTCTATCAGACATGTTGTCGCTTCTCTCTGTCTTTTCTACAAATATTTTCATGGTAACTGCTCCGATGAGCTACTTTCGCTGGTTCCCAAACTGCATAAACTTAAACATGCTACTAGGTTGGCATCTCAGTTCTACCCTTTCACTGTCAAAATGGTTAAATGTAGCCATCTCTTCTACTCCAATAGCTTGAACTTCCCAACAGTGAAACTCCCTTCCTCTTACTTGCTTCCCCGCTATAATTTTCAAATATTCAAATGCAATGGCAATCGACATCTCCAGATTCCTTTATCTAATTCCCCAACATTCTCTTCATTCTTTCCTCTATCATGCCTCTTTACTCTTGCTCCCACTCTTTGTAACCCCTTGTGTGCTAGTGGTACTCCCACCTTTGCTTGGGGTGAAATGCTTAAAAAAACAAAAAGAAAAATAATGTGAAAGAAAGCCTGGTTAAAAGAATTAAATCTGACAGTGCTAAGTCTGCTATTATTCTATAAATTAGTTTTTCTCTCCACCTCCACTTTTGGTTACTATACCTTTTATTTAGTATTAGATTCTGGAGTGAAGTATTGCCATTATGCCTTGAATTATTTGGGACCAGAATCTTCCTTCTTGTTTCAATCATTACATATCTGGTGATGCATTTTCTAATCTTTATTCAGGTGTGTATTTGTCACACTCAGTAATCATTGAACAGAATCCCCTTATCTCATCTGCAAGTCTTCCCTTTTTATTTTTTTTACCTTTTAATCTGGAAACTTTCACTACCTCATCAATTAAGACAATTCGCACATCCAAAGAGCAGTGTCACTAACATCTGGAAATTCTCTTAACTGAATTTTCACGATGCAAGCAATCGTAGCTATCCACAGCTTTCTTTTTATTACCTGTGAATATCTATGACTTCTTGGGATATATACTCGAATAGTTTTGCATTGCCTTCTCCAGAGTTTGGATTCCGAGTTCTAGAATGGCTACTGCACAAAGCTAGAGAGACTAGTGTGCATTACCATTTAACTCCTAGATGTGGGGAGGGAGAGATATATTCATACATTTCTCAAGGGCTTTTGTGTGAAAGTGAATACAACTGAGTTGTTTGAAATTTGAACTCAGCTTGCTGATTCCACTTTCAAATCAAACAAATTAAACTAATCACTTATGACAAAAAAAAAAATACTTAAGCCCTCCATGGTCATAACGAAAAACACAGCAAAAATCAAAATGTCAACAAACCATTGTTTTCTATGAACTTACTTGCCCACTTGGAGAATATCTGTCTAATAATAATAATTCAAACAACACACACACTGGAACACAACCAATGCTTTATCACACAGATTAAAAAGCTATTGAGCAAATAATGGTTTAATTATATCACCTATTGCCAGCCAGTACAAACACAAAACACAAGGAATATGATAAATTCTTACCTATAAAATAAAAATACTATATCACTCACTGTAAAAAAAACTACAAATAATAGAAGCGCTGAACATTATCAGCAATTACTCTTTGGTAATGGCTACTAAAAGCCAAAAGTACTCAGACATCAGACAGTTTATATTGAAATCATTATTTATTATATTTATATTGTAGAATATGTTGAACAAATAAGTTCAATCTGCAGTAATTTTCAATATTTAAATGATCTGCCATTAAATTCCTGTCAATAGATCCTAATGGAAACCTTTACAAGTTCATGCCTACTATTTTGTGGGTGCTCATAAGATCAATTACTCCTGCTATATATCTAAATATCCTTGATAAAATCCAAAGAAGAATCAGCAATATTATTGGTCTTGATCTTGCATCTTGGCTTCAGTCACTTTCCCATTGCTATAAAGTTGCTTCCCTGTGCCTTTTCTACAAATATTTGATGGTAATTGTTCAAATGAGCTCTTCCCCATGGTACCTAGACTTTATGAATATATGTGCAGTAACAGATTGACAACAAAGTTTCATCAATATACAGTTGAGTTGGCTA